CTCAAGAGGATAAAATGACCAGACTTACATGCCCCCCCACCAAAAAATAATAAATTTACATCTCTCTCCCTGGTGGGCTACTAAATCCCCCGATTCATCTCTTCTGAAAAGGCCCTTGTTTCCATATACATTTGCTACATAAGCTGCTTCCCTATTGGATTAATATTACCTGAGCAATTAAACTTACACATTTATTGGCTGATCATAGTTTTGTCCACATTATACCCCGCTCATGATTTATATCCGCCTCATAATTTTGCTCTGTAAAACTTCCTCTATAAAGTGGAGTCCATGGCAACTCATTTTTTGGGTCACCACCTGTCTCTCGGGAACTCTTTCTCGAGAGTTCCTATTAAATATTTCCTACTCTTAACCTCTATTGTTCCTTAAAATTCATTCTTCAGTTTTGGGGAACATGTACTCAGCATGTCTGACAACTAGCAGGTTGGGAGTTACATTTATTCCGCCTCTATCAGTTTCACTGCCAATCTACCAAATACTTAAAAAAGATATCAATCCTACAGACTCTCTTCTGGAAAATGGAAAAAGAAGGAGCACTTGTCAAATTATTTAAATGACCAACATTACATTGATTTAAAACTACATGTAGTACCCCAGAAAAGAATAATAGACCATTATCTCTCATTAACATAAAAGGAATTTCTCATTAAAATACCAGCAAGTCAAATCCAACAATATGTGAGAAATGGGTTTATCCTGGGGAGGCAGTGTTCAGGAGTCAGTCTAACATGTTAATTGTCTGTTGAAAAGAAAACTCCCATATGGTCATATCAGTTGATACAGGAAAAACATTTGGCCAAACACAGCATCCATTCCTCAACTTAAAAATCTCAGCAAACTAGAAAAAGAAAGGAACTTCTTCAGCCTGTTACAGAGCATCAAAACAAACCAACAAAAAGAAATGGTGAAAATTCACTGTGTTCTCCCTAAGATCAAAAACAAGGCAAGGGTATCCATTACCTCAACTTCAGCTCAAAGTCTCAATGAAATTTCAAAACAGACAAGAGCAAATGAAGGCATGTAAACCGAAAAGGAAGAAATAAATCTGCCTGTACCTTCACAGAGATAGTAAAATCAAACAAAACAGAACCAATAAAAACAAAAGCAATGAATGCAATGCAGGACTTCAAAACATGATAATAGTAAATCCAAAATAGTAAATCTTGTTACCTTTGAAAGAGCTATCCATGCCACCATAAAATCAAACAAGACAAAACAGAATAAAAACCTACAATGAAAATGATACAGCACTTTAAATTAAGATAATCAAGAATTAACAATGGCTACCACCTTCAGAAGGAGATCCCAAGGAGATGCTACATGGCACATTGTTATCCTCTGAATGGATGATAAGATTACCAGCTTTAGGCCTGCAGAGTCAGCGAAACACTAAACACTACAAGCATTAAATTGTATTTTACTTCAGTAGCTATCATCTCAGCCTGTGTTTCTCCAGATCAGCCTGTCACTCGTGGGGGGAGAGGGGGGGAGATGGGGAACTTTGGCTCTTCTTGTCTCCCAGCTGGCACACTGCTGGGAGGAGCTGGCATCTGATTGCCCTCCCCATGACTCGCCCGTGGCACCAACTCACAGGAAGTGGCTGGCTTCTTGTTCCTCCCTTCAAGGCCCACAGATGACGCTGACTAACAGGAAGGGGCTGGTGTCTGAAGAATTGAAAATTAGGGGCTGGGGATTTAGCTCAGCGACATAAGCGCCTGCCTTGCAAGCAGGCAGTCGTGAGTTCGATTCCCGGTACCGATAAAAAGGAAAAAGACAAAAAAAAAAAAAAAAAGAAAAAAAGAATTGAAAACTATTAGTAGAGTTAAATACAGATTTTAGGACTGAGGAATACAGTAGGTAAGATGGAGACCTCATTCCCAGCCAAATAATAATAATGATAATAATAGATGAAGACTTCCATGGATGGTTTGTGTATTATTGGACAGAGACTTAGTAAACTAAATGATTGCTTAAAGGAAATACCTAAAGTAAAATAAGGATTATGGAAACTAGAAAAGAGGAGCTAAGAAATAGAGCAGTTGCAGCAGTCAAACATTTAATTGGAATCTTGGAAAGCAACAGAATAATGCAGAAAATGAAATTCAGGAACCCTCTAAATTCTGAAAGTTTGCAAAGAAATCCACACTTAAGTATATTGTTATTTAAAATACTGGAAACTAACAATGCATGAAAAAAATTGCAAGATGCTAGAGGAAAAAAAACCAGGTGTATATAAAAAAAAAAAGAAAAAAAAAAGCAACAGTGGTTTGAGTAAGCCTATCTCACTGCCCAACTTCCACACAAGGATCTGCTGTCCTCGAAGCACAGAGGAGAAAAGCCCCAGCCTCAGATCCTGGAGATAGAGTTCTGCTGGAAGGAAAACAGAATACAAATGCAGATTGAGGCTGGAAATTTAGCTCAGCTGTATAGGCGTCTGTGAGCATGAGATCGTGAGTTTGATCTTCGTACCAAAAAAAAAAAAAAAAAAAACAAGAGGCAGCTGTTTCACCTGCACATCTCAGTTTGAGAAATGTCAGATAGAATATTTCTAGACCCCAGATGGATGACCAAAATGAAGGGGTGAATAAAACAGAAGCTCTGGGAAGATCTAAGTGGATGTCAGGTGCACAATGAGTCTTTTGAGGTTTAAAATACTTTTGATATGCTAATGTGCATGAAAACGTGGCCATCTATCTCAGGGAGAGAGAAGTGGACTTAAAGGACTTCAAGGCTATTGTGTTGTGGGGCAGGATCCGAATCAAGAATTTGTATTGTGGTTGTCTGAAGAATCACCGCCTTGAGAATCAAAATCATAGATGACTCCCACACTTTTGGTGGAAGAACAGAGTGGGGAGACAACTTGAAAAATAAAATTAAGGGAAGGGAAGAAAGAAAAGGCAACAATGAACATGGAGAACACAGAAATCCTGAGGACAATGATAGTATTAACCCACCTGGGTTATTAATTAAATATAAATGTGCTAGCTTTCAAAGATTGTAAAAAGTAAAGGAAAAAATAAAGTAAGAAATAATAATATAAAAGGTTAAAAGTAAAATAATTTAAAAAGAGATCATGAAATACTAATCTAAAAAAGCTAGTGTACATATTTTGGTTAGATAAAGTAGACTTAAAGGTAAGGTAAAGGTAAAAACATAATAATAAAAAATTCACTTCACTGGGAAGATAGAATAATTCAGTATTTGTGGGTATTTGATAGGATAGAATCAAGAGACATCAAATGAAAATTAGCAAAAACAAGGAATAGAGGACTTTACAGTCAGCGAGAGGAGACTTTTAGAACAGGAAGACAAAATCAATAAAGATATAGAAGATTTAGATCACAGAATTATCAGTTTTATCTCACATGTAAAAGGCTTTTAATTACTCACTCACTTTTACAGAATAGCAGATTTAATCCAGCATCCCTTGAAATTGCATTCATTTGGGAACTTACATTTGGTTTAACTTAATTTGCATAAATAAAGTGGCAAATCTATTAAACGTGAGGCATGATTATCTCAGTAGAGAACTGTATTTGTTAAAAAGAAAAACAGCAGGTTTTTTATTTTAAAGAGAAAAAAGTAAAAATAAAAACAATAATACGGAATTTCAAAACAGGATAAGAAATTAACTATGGTTCATATATTGCCTAATATTCTTTAAAATGTCTAACACCACCTTAGAGATGGGGAACAAGATAAAAATGCCCATGATCACCATTTCTATTCAGGATCCTAAGGCGTCGGTGTGTGCAGTGCCGGGCAGCGGCGGGGAGGATGGAAGGGAGAAAAGCAGGAAGGCTGGGGGACTGCTGAAGCCCAGGCCTTGCAGCATCCGGTTGTGCCTGGATTTCTGGAGTTGGGACCGGTATCATCCTGCTTTGAGCCCTCCCCACCCATCCCAGCCTATGGCCAGGTTCAAGGGCTGTGTTCTCATCGCTTACTGTAAGCGCATCAGGAAGTGTCATGCCACGGCCCCACAGCTTGACTTTTCATTTGAAGAAATACCATTCATCTCACAGCAAGGTTTTCACAATGAATGATTGCTCATTTGAGTTTGTACCAGCTTGCTAGGCTCCTTTGTATTACCTTCTTTGCCATTGGGAATGCATGCATACATGGGCACCTAACAGCCACACAGAAATGGATGCCTGTCCTGCATCCATAGTGCCCGGTCCCTGATGGCTCTCTGCGGTGATTTATGCCCCGGCCCCCTTTTTTATGTGAGATGTCTAAAATAGATTCAGGAGAATAAAGTGGAAACTGCCAGGTTTGCAAGGTCAGTTCTGGAGACGTAGCAGACAACACGGAGCCTGTTGTTAACCTACCGTGCATTTTCTGGTCACGCATTCTGGACAAAGCATTTGCTGTTTCCTGCGCCTGAATGAGTTTGAAAAATGCTATGTCACTCATATGCCTCTTAGATCCTTGCTGCCCCTGTGAGCACGTTGAAGGCCCTGGTGCTGTTGGACTTTGTGTCCTTGCTCAGTATCCAGGTCCCACCCCATGGGATCCTCTGCTGGTGCCTGGCAGGACCGAGTACTGTGCCCTGCCTGGCCTTACCAAGACTGGACACGGGATGGATAGGAATGGGTTGGGTTCCTGCCCGCCCTGGGCATGGCATTGTTACAGCTCACCATCTAAATGCTGACTTTATAAATGTGTCTGGGCAGCTCACCTAGCGGGGAGGGGCAGGACACTCACATGAGAAGGAAGAGGATGCCCTGACAGTCACAGGCCGTAGGAAGATACATGAGGGGTGGCACTGGTGCATTCTGAGGGGTCCCTCCTGGGGCTGAGGCTCGGAGGTGAGAGGCCTAGGGAGGGCATCTTGGGAAGAGAGCAACTGGGCAGGCAGGGCCCAGCGTGCTGGGGCCACGGATAGGTGGTGTAAGGAAGGCGTGTTTGTGGACAGAGGGGGAACAGGTGAAAAGTACCGGATTGGCTGGATACTGAGGCAGTTTTCCTATTTCTTTTAGACCCAGCACCCTACACAGACCAGTTGTTTTTAAAGGAAAAACCCAGCTTCCCAGCTGGCCAGCAGCTCCTGAGCCAGGCAGGCCCCAGTGACCCTCCGGGTGGGACACCAACCCCTTTGGCACCACCCTCACCTCTTGTAACTGTGGCGCCCAAAGACGCAGCAGCACCAGCCAGCACCATGCCAGAGCCAGCAGCAGGGACCGCCGTCCAGGCGGGGGATCCAGGGACCTCTCAGGGGCCAGCCAGTGAGCGGGAAACCACCCAGCCACTGGCTGAGGCGCACGATGCCCAGCGTGCCATGCAGCCTCTCAGCACGGGCCAAGGACCTTGCACCTCAACTCCAGAGTCCTCCAGTTTGGGGGAGCCCCCCTCAAACAGGGAGGTCAGTACCCCAGGGGAGCTGCAGCCTGCTGTGGTGCCAGGGCCCTGCCCCCACAGCGGGGCTCTGCAGCCTGCTTTGGGTCAGCCACCACCTCTGCTCCCCACCTCAGTGGGGGCCATCAGCCTGGCTGCCCCCCAGCTCCCTAGTCCCCCACTGGGGCCTGCTGCCCCACCACTACCACCCTTGGCCCTGGAGTCAGATGGGGAAGGGCCGCCCCCCAGATTGGGCTTTGTGGACAGCACCATCAAGAGCCTGGATGAGAAGCTTCGGACTCTGCTCTACCAGGAGCATGCGCCCACCTCCTCAGCCTCAGCTGGGACCCCCGTGGAGGCAGGTGACAAGGACTTCTCCTCAGAGCCCCCAAGGGAAGATGTGCCTCACCAGGAGGCCTTGGGGGGAGAGCTCGCCCAGCCACCCCAGCCCTCGGTGAGTAGCTGGATTCACCCCAGAGGATGGTCCCAAGGTAGGGCAGGTTGGGGGTGGCCAGGTTGTGCTGGGCCATCCTTGTCCTGTGTTTAACCTGCTTCTAGTGACCCCCTCTGCAATCAGTGGCCTCTGTCCAAAGCTCTGCATGAAGTGTCTGGTAACCCAGCCTCATTGCCTATGGAGGCGGATGGGCCAAGGTGGGCTCCCGCGGCCACAGGGAAAACGGATCTGCAGCGAAGTGGCAGAGATGCCCGCAAGCCCTCTCACGGAACCGCACTGTGTTTCTCCTCTAGTTGGAAAAATCAGAGACAGCCCCTGCAGGATGGGGCCCAGTGGAGCAGGAGCAGGGCGCCTCTTCACCAATAACAGGTAACAGGCTTGAGGTCACACAGGGCCTGCATTCCCAGGGCTCCTGCACCTCTGGAGTCCTGAGCCTCCAGTCTCTGCATCCTTACTACGGTGCTTTACGGTGTAGAAGGATCCCTTTGTGATGAAAGGATCAGGCACCTAGGGAGTGCTCAGACACAGCACAGCCTACTCACACTCCACAAAGGCACATCCGGTCTGTGGGTACTGGTGAGAGCTGGATGGTAACATGCTGGGACACAGTGGGGAGGGTCCCCAATGCCTCAGGACACAAACAGTGTGGATGTCCCTACCTCTGAGCTGCTTCAGCAAGGTTCTGGATGCCTCAGGACATGCGTGGTTATTTTTTGGCTAAAGCATGAGATAAGGCTGGGGTACTGGAACTCCCAGAAGTGGCAGGTCACCCCCTAGCTGGGATCACCCTCGACTCTGGCTCCAGTGCAGTGCACCTTTGCGTAGACTCCTGTTCTGGTTCTTGTTTCCTTGTCTGATGGCCCAAGTTTATGTCCTACAGGAGCTGGCTCTTCTCTAAAGTAACAGGACCCTTTTCAACCTGGATTCCTTGAGTACTGGGCAAGATAAGATTTAGGATCCAGTAGAGCCTGGAAGTAGAGACCTGGGTTATGTCAGCGCAGGTGGGACCCCTACAGTTCCAGGTTACACCCACACGGGATGGAGCTGCTGGCTTCTCCCCACAGCTACACAGGATGGCTGCACAGGTGCCACGGGTTGCGAGGGGCTGGGCTGCTGGCTGTAGGGTCTGACTCTGTGCACATAAGGAGTTGGCAGAACATAACCTGGGAAGGTGGGGGGCAGGGCAGAAGCAGGAGAGGCCTGGCTCTGCCACCCAGCAGCTCCCCTGTCACTTTATCCTTGCCGACTTCTTACTGTGAGAGCTGCCCTTTAGCCCAGCATAGGAAGATGAGGAGACAGCTTTTGTAACCTGTGGGTATCGTAATTTGCATTCCAAAATCCATGGTCAGCCTTCCCGTGACATGGTGGGTGTTTCCACAGCAGAGTCGTCTTCCAGCAACACACTGGGCTGTGACAGTGATGGGGGACAGGCAGCCTCAGACTCACCCGCAGCATCCAGTGTCCCCCAGGTAAGTGACGTCTCTGCGCCATGGCTAATCTGTGGGGTTGGCTTCCAGCCCCTGTTCTCACATGATCCCCTTTCCTGCTTGCTTCTGAAGGCCGTCCTTGCCTCTGCGAGTCCTGCGTGTGTGCAGCCCTCAGACCAGAACAGCAGGGTCCCCAGGGAAGCCTCGGAAGAGCCCATGCGGAGCCACCCAGGGACAGTCACAGAGGGTGGCCAGCTCAGTTGCCCCCAGACACACGGCACTCGGGCCTCAGGGTCACCGCATAAGCGGCCAGGGCAGCAAGAGGGCAGCTCACCGGCCAAGACAGTGGGCCGTTTCTCAGTGGTGAGCTCACAGGACGAGTGGACACTGGCCTCCCCGCACAGCCTGAGGTACTCCGCCCCTCCCGACGTCTACCTGGACGAGGTCCCCTCCAGTCCTGACGTGAAGCTGGCTGTGCGGCGGGTACAGACCGCCTCCTCTATCGAGGTCGGTGTGGGCGAGCCGGCGTCCAGTGACTCTGGGGACGAGTGCCCGCGGAGAAGGCCCCCGGTGCAGAAGCAGGCCTCCCTGCCTGGTAGCAGCGGCGTGGCTGGTGACTTGGTGAAGAAGGCCACGGCCTTCCTGCAAAGGTCCTCCAGGGCTGGGTCCCTGGGCCCTGAGACACCCAGCAGGGCAAGTGTGAAGGTCCCCACCATCAGCGTCACCTCCTTCCACTCCCAGTCATCCTACATCAGCAGTGACAATGATTCAGAGTTTGAGGACGCGGACATCAAGAAAGAGCTGCGCAGCCTACGGGAGAAGTATGTTGGGGCCCACGGGGCTGGGCTGGGCCACTCGGGTGAGCCTTAAGGCTGCTCACAGCAGCTAGTCGGGGCGGGGGTGGGGGGCTACATCACCCTTCCCTGTGGCCGTGAGCAGAAGCCCCATCAGGCTGTCTGTCCTCCGTGCCAGGCCAGCCGCTCTACAGGCTGCTGCTTCCTGGCTTTTCTGAGGCCACTCCTCCCTTAATGGGGCAGGCTTTTCCCTCTGTCCCCCTCGGGGAGGACATTGCAGGGTATGACGGGACACATGCCATCCCTACCTTCTCACTCTCCATGTCTGTGTCTCTACTTTCCCATAGTCGGGGCAGGAGGGAGGCCAGCAGTGCCTGTTCACCCAGCACTGCATGATCGGGCTCAGAAATCAAAGATGCACGAGGAGGAGCCTGGTCTTCGGGCTTTGCTGGGGGTTTTGCAGGGGCTGATGGAGAGGAGCCATAGTCTGGTGGAGGTGGGAAGGCAGGGTTAGTACAGGCTGCTGGACTTAGGGGCTCTCAGAAGGTGGCCTAAGAGGCAACACTTCCCAGCAGAGCTTTCATTCAGGTGAGAGTGCCCTGCAATGGCTGGAACCTTTGGGGTCGAGGAGGGGGCTCGCAGTGGGATTTCCCACTGCGGAGCCAACAGTCAGATGCAGAGGGAGCCTTGGATACAAGACCAGCCGAGAGCCTGTTCCAGCAAGATAGGCTGGCTGCCAGGGAGGGGTCCTAGAGTCACATGGGGTGGGGCAGGGTCTAGAGTGAGGCAAGAGGAAGAGGGGACAGGGAAGTCCAAAAAGAACCTCCGAGAGGGGGACCAGGAGATGCCAGGAAGGGACCATGGAGCGCAGTGGAAAGAGGTGATCTTTTAAGAGGGGATGGGAGAGAATTTGGACCTCAGCCTAGACCTGAGAGACCTGCTGACATCTGCCAGAAGTAGCCAGTTGTTCCCTTGCCCGAGAGTCCCTGGATGACTTGTTTTGATGCAGGTGTCTGGGCTATTTGGTTTCTAACACCTGTGCTGAGATTTCCTCAGGCTCAGCCCAGCGTGCGATTTCAGACGCTGGGGACTCCTGGGCTCTGAGCCCTGGGGTGGCAGGGCAGCAGCTGTAGGGGCTCCCTGGGGACACCAAGCTCCGACCTGAGGTCCTGAGTAAGGGGCCCCCTCTGCTGGCCCAGCACCCACTACCGCCACCCCCTGCAGCCAGCCTCACGCAGACCCCTGGCACAGCAGTTTCACTCCCTGCTCTTTGCAGGAGAAAGCCGCTTCATGATTTATTGTTTTTATTTATTACTTGTAATAGCTAAAGAAAGTCTTTCTTTCTCTAACATATGTGGCAGGTGTTAAACACACAAAGTAGAATCTGCCTCTTAACTCTGCAGAATCTAGGGATTTTTCAAAGCAATGAGAGGGTCTGTTTTGGTTTTTGTTTTTGGTTTGGTATTAGCAAAAGTCAGGACTTCCTTTCTCACTTCCAACCATGAAAACCATCTGCTCTCTCAGCATCAAAGTGGAGGAGACAGCTGGGACAGGGAGCTGAGGAGCGGTGCCCGTTCAGGCTGACTGGGGACCCAGCGGGGTGTGTAGCTCAGCACAGGGTGCCAGGGGCCAGTGAGGGAATCCACTAACAGCAGGCCTGGGCAGTCCTCTCTCCTCCTTGCCCAGTGATCCACTCACATCTTTGCCAGGACCTGCCACGGTAGCCCCCGCAGGGTCCTGTTCAGCTGGGCCCTGTCCAGGACGGTCTTACCAGCTTGCTTGTGCAGCACCAACCCTCACCCTCCCCACACCCTCGACTACCTGCACATCCTGGCCTGATAAACCAAGGCAATCCTTGGGTTTGGAGCACCAGCCAACTTTCTGTGCACCTGTGCTGGTGCCTGGGCTTGCACTGCAAGCGGAAGGATACAGATCGAGTCCCCTGGGTGCCCAGGCCATAGACCATGCAACAATGAGGATTCTAGTATCTCAAACCTGCCTGGCTTGCATATAACCAGACTACCATTTAACACCCTGAGTGGCCGCCCGGGAGACACAGACATAACTGCCAATGCGATGTTACCTCTCTCCCCACCGCCAGCCTCCACCTTCCAGGGAAGCCCACCTGCCCTGCCCCCTGTCTCTTCCACCCACAGGCACCTGAAGGAGATCTCAGAGCTGCAGAGCCAGCAGAAGCAGGAGATTGAAGCTCTGTACCGCCGCCTGGGCAAGCCGCTACCGCCCAATTTGGGCTTCTTCCACACGGCGCCCCCCACTGGCCGCCGGAGAAAAACCAGCAAGGGCAAGCTGAAGGCTGGCAAGCTGCTTAACCCGCTGGTGCAGCAGCTCAAGGTCGTGGCCTCTAGCACAGGTCGGCCCGCTGGGAGGTGGGCTGCGCTGGGCTGGGGCGGGGCTGGAGGGACGGGGGCCCTGAGGATGCCTGGGACACAGGCTGTGTGCAGAGGTGACGTCCCCAGACCTGGAAGAGCAACTGGAGTTTTCTTCTTTCTGGATCCTCGCACTGGAGCTGAGAGGTCACTGTGGGCCCTGGGAGGCCCTGGGTCTCTGTGCTTGTTGCAGCTGGGCTAGGCCTGGGTTTGGGGAGGGCCTGCTTGGAGCCAGGCCTCAGCCCTGAGTGCAGAGGGGGTACCAAGGAGGCCCCAGATCATTCTGCCCTCCTGTTCCTCTCCACAGGATGCAGCCCAGGACAGAGGGTGGCTGCTGCCTCTGACCTGTGTCTCAGGCACATGCCTTCGGGTAGAGAGATGATGGTGTTGTCCTTTTAGGCTTGTAAGGGTGCCGGCCTGGCTCTAGGCAGCGTCCGTGTGATCAGGGGCTCCTTTGATCATTCTGAGTGGCACTGTCAGGTGCACACTGGTCAGCAGCCCTGGCAGGCTGGGATGAAAACCCCATGAACCCAAGTCCCCAGAAGTGCCAGGTAGGACAGGCACTGGTGAGTTAAGCACAAACGTTCCCTGACTGCAGGCCACCCATGAGTTGTACAAGTTTTCCAGGTTCAGTGCTGTGTCCCAGAGCTGAGGGACACTCAGTACAGTGAGAGAGGTGCACAGCCTACTTTGAGCCTTTGTGTGAGCCTGTCACTTACTTGCACATGACAGGTCCTAACTCCAGCATAGTGTTGGGTGTCAGTGGCGAGGGTACACTTTCTTTGATTGTCCTCGACCTCCCCACCCAGGAGATGGACCCAGCCCTGTGCCAGTTGTCTGCAGGAGACTCCACTTCCCCAGTATTACCTAGCAAAGAGCAGAGGACAGACCCAGCCCGTGTCCATCCCTGCCTGGCGGCACCTCATGGTGCATGTCGCCTCTTCTCCCCTCCCCGCCCAGGTCACTTGTCTGACTCCAGCAGAGGCCCTCCCGCTAAGGACCCTGCTCACGCCAGCACGCCCCCGTGCGCCAAGGCAGTTCAGACCCAGCAGCCCTGCTCCGTCCGAGCCTCCCTGTCCACAGACATCTGCTCCGGCTTAGCCAGTGACGGAGGCGGAGCGCGTGGCCAAGGTGATTTCCAGCTTGCCTGTCTCCAAGCATGTGCCGGCCACGTAGGGCCTCAGTGGTGTCCCAGGAGCACGCCCATGTGTGTCAAGGGGGTCAGAGCCACAGCCAAGGCTGCTGAGCAGCTTTGCAAAAAAAGAAAAAAATAAAAAAAATAAAGATGCAGTCTTTGGATGCAAGAAGAAAATTGTCCCCTTATCACCAGCTCAGAGGCAGGTGATGGCTTTGTTAGAACGGGCCTCAGGGAGGTGGCCAGGACTGGGAGGGGTCAGCCTGGTGACCAGGAAAGGCATGGGCCTGGCATCTCCCTGTGGCCCGTGGTCCCCATTCCTAGGCACTGGTTGCCCTGCAGCGGAGCCTGATGGTGCTAAACACCAGGTCCTTCCACAGTCCAGGGGACGGCTGGGGGACAAGGGCTCAGCTCTGCAGCTGGGAGTTTGGCCCCGAGGAGGAAATGCTGTCGCATCAACACTGCCGTGGAGGGCAGCAGCTGTTCAATGAGGCGCTCTCCTGTCCTCACCATCTCTGTCCAGAGAAATCATGGTGGCCGAGACAGGTGCCCCACCCCTCTCCTCCGGGCCGCTTCTCTTCCGCTCCTCCCGTTGCCTCCTTCCCATCCCATGGTCAGTGGCTGTGGTGCTCGGGCTGGGCTAGGTGCAGCCATGGATGGTTAGTTTCGAGGCTGGTGTGGCTGTTGGTGTGGAGGAGGAATCGCAGCGACCTGTACTTGATGAGTGTCTCTCTGTTTTCTTCCCTTTATATTCATTTGCAGGCTGGACGGTTTACCACCCAACGTCTGAGAGAGGGGCCTATAAGTCTAGTAGCAAGCCTCGTGCTCGATTCCTCAGTGGACCCGTATCTGTGTCCATCTGTCTGTATTTGTTCTTTTGTATTTTCCCACCTCCCAGCCCTTGGTTTCTCCCCTCCCCACTCCCTGTCTTCATTTCCTCTCATACATTTCATAGGATGCCTCCCCAGCCCCTGGAAGTCACCCCTCCATAGGAAAGGTGGACCCCATGAGTCCTTCCTGCTGAATGCCACTGTCTGTGCCCGCCCCAGCCCCGATGGCTGTGTGCATGCTCTTGGCTGCGCCCGGGCACCAAAAGCATGCGCAGCGGCGCGCCCGCCTCCACCCAGGCCCCTTGCCCACCCACACGTGCAGGGCCTTCTGCATTCCCTCCGTCACCTCATTTATTTAATTTAATTTTGTTTGGTTTTTTTTTTTTTACGTTGGACGTAGTTTTCTTTTCTGTTGCAATTGTGGCCAGTATACGTGTCCCCTAATTCCAGCGACAACAAAAAGACAGCCCCAACCTTCTCTAGATGCATTGTATGCTGCTCAAGGTCTGGGCTCTGAAGGCACACGTGTAGCAGTTGACCCTGCCCCGAGGCTCCCCGCAGGGCGTGACATCTTGCTGGGGCCCCAGCCCAGTGCCCAGCCCTGTGACCACCCACCATCCCTGTGCCTGCATTCAGAGATGCTAAAAACTAGCCCCAGGACTAAGGTCTAGCTCGGTGGTGGAACACTTACCTAGCTTATGCAAAGCCCTGGGTTCAATCCCAGCACTACGGAAAGAAGAAAAAAGAGCTGGGGCTTCCATGGGGCTGCCTCCAACAGAAATGCGGTCCCCTCTAACCTGCTGACACCAGCTCCAAAAGGCGAAACCGACACCTCACCCACCTGGCCCTGGTCCCCTGCCATCCGGCTGGGGCATTTTGCTGACCCATAGGACATCAGGGAGGGAGGCAGTGACACAGTGCCTCCTCGTTCCATCAAACCAGACCCAGTCCCGCCCTCGACAGAGACCCTGGGACTGACTCTTGGGAGGGCCATCTGCTCGCGCCACCCCACACGGTGCAGTGCATTTTTAAGCCTCACAGTGGTTTCCCCCATAGCCACCCTGTGGAGTTTTCAGGTTTTTGTCTTTTAAACAGAAACATTGAGCTTTTTGGCAGTTGGATTAAAGATGACGGTTTGGGGCATACAACTTTTTGCTTGTACAATGTAAAGATACATTGTGTTTGTGGGGACCCAGCGACCACATCTACAGTAAATGACAATTGCCGTTGCTCCACCACCACCTCTATCAGAGAACCACATGGGCTGTCACTCTCCAGCTGGGCCAGGCCAGGGCACAGGGCCTCGGGCACTGCTGGGGACTTCCGGTGGTTTTCTGTCCATGTAGTGGGCTTTCCTGGCCAGGCCGCTGGCAGTCACTAGCATCTGGCTGGTGGCGTGTCTGCCAGGCTTCCGCTCAGTTGCTGAGTGGAGCTGGAGAGGGGTTGTCTAGTCTTTGCAGCTGGCTGGCCCCATCCTGGTCCTTACTCATCAGGGCCCTTTCTTGCCATCCGTGGCACATGTGTGGCTCATACCAGATTTATCTGCAGGGTGAGGGCACCTGGATCTTTGGGTGTCTTCCATCCCGAGAGCAGCCTCTGTCCAATCTTGGAAACCAGAGCAAACCATGCAGGACTGTCCCACTGTGTGAGAGGCAGAGGTGCTGTGGTTGAGCACCTCTGAGGTCAGGACAGCTGCTCTACCCAAGGTCACCTTTAAGGGTTTTCTTTGGTTTTACTGAGCTTTTGGTCTAAGATGTAAAAATCAGAAATGAAGCATAGCGCAGACAAAGATCCAGTGGCCAGGAGGAGGGGATGTCTGAGGTAGACTTGGCGAACTGGCTTCCAGCGTGGCGCATAGTGCCTGCCCAGGCCTCCTGAGTCCCACAGGCCTTGTGCTTGAGCCACAGCGAGCCTGTTTTATGCGTGGCCAGTTCAGCCCCACGTGGCAGGTCAGGCAGAGCTGCAGTGGGTGCCTGCTTCCGCTGTAGCATGTGGACTGGGGAGGTGACAGCTCGGCTACCATTTCTCCCTGCTGCCCTGTGGGTGTCCACCAGAAGGACCCCCACTCCCTGTGCTGCTGGCTCTGGAATGTAGTGTGGAGCTTCTCACTGAGTCCTCATCCCTCTCCTGGCTCCAGCAGCAGAGCCCACAAGAGAAGGAGGGGGTGGTGCTGAGGCGTGTGGACAAGGCCCTGTGGGTGCAAGAGGGCTGCAGCAGCCGGCTGAGCCGTGGGAGGTCCAGAGGAGGAACTACCCCCTGCTTGGAGTGGGGTGCATGAGCAGATGGTGGAAGCCTCTGGCAGATTCTAGCCCTGCATGGCCATGGGGCTGCAGGTCAGGTGGTTGTGCTATCAGGAGTGACTGTGAGGAGTGGAGGGGCCAGAGCCCTAGGAGTGGCAGGGGAAGGTGGCGGGCTTAAGAGTTTGGGGTTCACTGCTACAGTGTGTGGCATCCCCACTTCCTGGAAGAGATGAGGCTCCAGGAAAACAAAACATGCTTTAAATGTTGACACACAGACAGGTCTCCATATCCATGAAGCTCAGAGAAGACACAGCCCCAGAGGGGGTGGCACAGCCAGGCCAGGTGGAAGGCAGGGTGTTGTCTGGGGTATCGGGGTCTCCAGAGGCAGAATGGACTCCAGAGAAGGGGCTGGATTGAGGTGGGCGGCAACTCCTTGTGGAGGAACCTGGCAACTTCACCTCCTGAAGGAGCCTGAAAAGAGGGGTTTAGAATCTTAGGCGGCACTGGGGGCTTTGTTGGTCAGAATCTGTGGCCACGCCCCCTGGGTGGCCTCCTTTTGTTCTGCCCCTGGCCAGGCGAACAGTGGCACTCTGGGCTTTCTCAGCACACAGGACCTGTGGTCTCACCCTGTCCTTCTCTTGTTCCTTGTGTGTAGCCCACTTGGGTCAGGAACCCCGTTGCCTCCCTCGCAGCCTCCTAGCTCTCTCCATACACGAGGTGTTCTCATCCCTCTCTGGTGGGAGCCAGTGATAGATGAGCTGTCTAAAGGCAGGCCCTTGGGGACCCGACGCCAGCCAGCCCAGGAAGGAGGAAAAAGTGTCCCCGGCCACCCTCCGTGGATCAAGGCATGTCCTTGTTTCCAAATTGATGCCTCAGGGACAGTTTCAGCGATGCTGAGAATGCAGATGCATGATGCAGCCCAGGCTTCAGCTTGAGAATGCAGATGCGTGATGCAGAGACAGCCCGAAAGGTGTTTTGGCTGTGGATGCTGGCACAGGGCTGCTGACACCCTGTTGGGTCAGGGCAGCCCCTGGAGGTCCTGAGAGATCAACTGGACACAGGCCCTGAGCTGTCCGGTCCTGGGAGGGCTGACCACAGTCTGTGTGGATTCTTGTGAACGAGTTCTGCTCCTGCTGTTCTTGTGAACTTTGTCAGTATTTGAACGCAGAGGTATAAAAAGCACATGTGAGGAATTGCTCTTGGCCTGACCCACTTTTTAAGCCATCTGTCCTAGTCAGACATCCTCGGCTCGAGTCCTGAGGCTGGAGGTGTCCTCGCTGCCCAGCAAGGGGCCGAGTGTCAGTGGGCACTGGAGCTGCAGAAGGCGGGGCTTTGAGCGGAGCAGTGTGTGGGTTGTGCCCAGACATGATGCGGGGGGAGCAGACCCCCAGGGAGGCCAGGATGAACCCTGGCTAAGCCTGTCACAGGCCAGGAGGCATCATCTCTCTCATGCTGCCCTGGGGACCCAGTGGGAGCTTCTCCATCAGACCCCCACTGCTAAGCATGTGCACAGCAGTGCCCAGACATGCTCAGAAATGCTCTGGAGAGGTGGCGTAGGAGCATGTAGCAGGGTGGGGCTGTCTGCAGGGAGCCAGGTCTGTGTCCCCTCAGGAGGCTGCTGCGCCCTGAAGACCCTAACAGTGCTTAAGAGGTGGCCTTGGAGTCAAGAGCACCCTGAGCAATCTGTGCAGAGACCAGAACTGTCTGGCTTTGGTCACCTGGGGCCCAAGAACAGGAAGGCCAGGTGGCAGCTGTTCCATCCAGTGTTCTTCCCAGTATGACACAGAACAAACCCAGAATACAGAGCTGCCAGTCACCCCATGAGTCGCCACATGGGTACCCTGGCGTCTAAAGCACCTGTTGCAGCCCAGCTGTGGGGGCCTGGTGACATTCTGTCTCTTGGTCCTAGGGCCATCCCTGTGGGACTGTGGCAGCTCAGACAGGTGCAACCCCACAGAAAACCTGAGGGGTGCTGTCCTCACGCCCTGCATTTGGGACTCCAGCCCAGGCTGCAGCCAGACTTGAGGGGCGCCTGGCTAGCACTGAGGGCGACACTTTGTTTCAAAGGTGGACCCAAAGAAGAGGTGGCTCTGTCCTGCTTATTCAGAGGGTTCTGTCTAGATCCCTGATGTTGCTTCCTTTTTTTACTAAAGACTCCACCAGCTCCTGGCCTCGCCCTCACCGTGGTAGGCTTAGAGATTATACAGAAGGACAAGCAAGTCAGGTCCAGTGTATACGGAGTTCTGCTGGGGACCCTAGCCAACGTTTGCACACTCTCCCAAGGCAGGAAAAGGAAGGCTGGTGTCCCCAGGTTTCCAAGCCTCCAGATGTTCCCAGCCTGTGGAATGGTACCGAGCATGCTCCCGTTCCTGGGAGCTGGGTGCTGCACAGAAGGGGTGCCTGGCCAGGAGGGCTGTCAGCTGCAGTGCAGATCTTCAGTTCTAGGCTGGCTTTGCTGAGTGACCTTGGGGACACCTGGGCTCGCCCACATCACAGTCTCAGCTCCTTCAGAGGCTGTGGGATGAGCTGGAGTGGCAGGACCTCTCCACATCCCTCCGGCCAGCCTGAGGCCCCACCTCCAGGCCCTGCGGGATGTCACCTTCAGTGTCTTCCTGTCTGAGAGACTCCAGGCTGCTCAGGACAGTGGGGATGGAGCCACTTAGTGTGGTCCGGGAAGGAGGAAGCCTCACCCTACCCCCACGTGGGGTGGATGTGGACTTTTACAGAAGAAACAGCAGTGTTCCCGCGGTCAGGATTTGCCTCCTGTGTCGTTTGATGCCCCATCTGACCTCATCCACCATGGCCATCTGGGATCTAGAATTGGCCTCAAAACTGCAAAACAATCTTTTTGCACTTGGGAAACCTCCAGTGGCCCTGTAGCCAGGCCAGGCAGTGCCCAGCTCCAGTCAGAGGCCCCTTGGCTGACCCCTCCTCATTGGTAGAGCTCCTCAAAGCCTGGCTCTTTGAAGCCAAGTGGTGTGCTTTGCTGTTCGTTTTTTTCTGTTCTTTTCTTTCATTTTTTTTTCTTTTTTCTTTTTGTTTGTTTTTGCTTTTTTTTTTTTTTTTTTTTCTTTCTCTTTTTCTTTTTCTGGAATACGCTTCTAGAGACAAAACACTTCTCCCGAAGCGCAGGGGCTTGCCCCGGCCCCTCTGCCTCCTCAGCGAAGCCTGTGAGAGCCTGCACACTAACTTGGGGGTGCTGCCCCCATGACCCCAGGCCGGGCCAGCTCCTCTCTGAACTGCTGCCTGTGTCTGTCCCTCCCTGCACACCGACAGCTGTGCTTGCGTGTGGTAGTGTGACCGGTGTGTTCCGTTCTGCCTAACCCTGTGGTCTTGTGTCGTTTGTTCTTCCCTTACAGGGTCAGCCCTGAAGCGTCTCTGCCTAGGCAAAGAACACAGCAGTAGTAATTATCTGGGTTTTTTACCCCCTTTGTCCCCTCTCATCGCATGGGCTTTCTTGTGGCTAGCGCGCAGCAGGGTGGCCTGCTTGATGCCCGCCCTGCGGGCTCTGCTTGGCTTCCGCCTGGCGGGACAGCTGCCCGCAGCTCCCCTGTGTGTCTCCATGGCTCCTAGAGTTTGTGCGGCCTCGACAGTTAACCTCTAACAGGCTTGTCCTTCTCCAGAGTGTCCACAAATTCCCAATCATTAATTGGCTCCTTTTCCAAAACCGTAGGAATCAGTATTTCCTTCAAGTGCTAAAGATGAGTGCTTCCCCCGAGGAGAGATACGAGGACCAAATGGGTATTAGTCTACCTGGGCCACCCACACCTCTCCCATCTCTTCCTCTCTCTCTCTTGCCCTTCTCTCTTTCTCTCCCTCTGGCTCCTCCCCCCTTTTGTTTTAATTTTTTCAAATTTTCATTTTTCTTTCCTGGCTGAAGTTTTCATGTAGAAATAGCTCTGTGTATGTAAAATCTCATCACTAATTTTCAGTTGTTTGTGTCTCTGCCTTGTCATCGCTAGCCACTAAAGTACACTACATTTTGGAACGGCTTGTTTGAAGAGATGGTCATTAGTTTTTGGTGGAGTTTTTATTAGTGCAGCTAAAAATTTTTTTCTTTTAAATTGGCTTGTTCAAAATTGCCAACTGGAAATGATGTATGAAATAAATGATGTATGAAGGGGAGAAGGGAGGAAGAGATGATTTTTTAAAAAAAATTTAAAACCCTCATGTTGGTCGTTTAAACAAAACAAAACAAAACAGACTTGAATACAGCTGCCCTCTGAGGAGCCCAGGCCCTGGGTCTGCTCTCTACAGCAGCGGCCTTGCAGTGAGGGTGCAGCCTCCTCTCGGCTGCCTGTGTCCTTCCCCAGTGCTCTAGTAAGGGAAGCTCTATTGTTGCCTGGCTTTGAATTCCAAACCCCAGAGCATTAAAATTCATTTGCGTGAGTGCAAATCATGCAGGCTGCCTGGGGATGCTAAGCACTCTGCGAAGCATCCTCGCTTCCTCTCACCCTGAGAATGCAGAGCCAGGCAGCGCCCGAGGAGTCGGGCACTGTGACACCAGTGCTGTGACTGGTGGGATGGCAGGGTGGGTGCAGAGAGGACTCTGAACAAAGGCTTCCAGCAGTGCAGGATCTGTCCCCTTGCCTGGCTCTTGAGATGGGCGACGGCCACCTGGCATAGCCAAGGCCCTCATAGCCCCTGGAAATGCCCCACTGAGGCTAAAACTGGGTATCGAGCCCTGTGATCCCGACCACCTCTTGAAGCAAGGTGTTGCCTGACTGATGTGACGCCATTTTCTCGGCCGTCACATAAAAAGGACTAAAGCCAGCCCACCAGTGGTGCTGGGCGCATGTGTGGCGTCACCAATCCTGGCCTGTATGTGACTCCCCAGGGTCCTCCACCAGCAGCTTGGCCCCAGGCCCCGAGCCAGGTCCCCAGCCCACCCTGCACATCCAGACGCAGGTGAACAACAGCAACAACAAGAAAGGGACCTTCACCGACGACCTGCACAAGCTGGTGGACGAGTGGACAACCAAGACGGTGGGGGCGGCACAGCTGAAGCCCACGCTCAACCAGCTGAAGCAGACGCAGAAGCTGCACGGCATGGAGGCCCCCGGCGAGGTGCGGGCTGTGAGTATAGGGAGCCGCGCCGCCAGCATCCCCGCGCCAGTGTTCTGTGTTCAGGAGCTGAGTTTGACCACAGCCCTTTGAGTGAGGCCACCTCCTCTTACAGAGTAGGAGGCAAGTGCCTGTGGTCCCCAGCAGGCAGAGGGCACAGGCTAGGCAGAGACTGTGACTCCAAAGCTTAGCCACTCAGAGTCCCAGCCTGGGCAACCTGAGCCCTGCAGCCCTCAGCTGGCAGCTGCAGCCTCACCCTGGGGGACAGACACATCCCCACCAGCACTCTGTCTGTCCCCAGGCTGGTGCATCAGCTCCTGTGCAGCCAGCAGCAGGCTTCCGCTCCCCTGCTTGGAACCATGGATGGGGAAGGCAAGGAGTTGCTCTCCCGCTTGGCAGGCCTGTCTTTTTGTGCCAGAACTCATTGGAGGAGTTGATGAAATTGTGGGGTTATTTCCACTTTAAATGTTTCGTAAGCTCTTAGTGACAGTTATCTGGGCTGTGGTAGTTTGTTTTTGTCGGTAGCTATGAGCTTTCGCTTTGAAAAATGTTGAGCACACAGGCGTTGAAAATCTGCAGTGCACACCTGGGTGCCACTGCTGCACTCTGGGTGACATTGTGCCCTACTTGTCACACATCTGCGTGTCCCTGGAGGAGCAGGTTTTCATTAGGGGTCTGGCTCCTTCTACAGTTCTAAGGTCATTTGGATTTTCTTCTTTTTCCCAACAGTCCTGTTAAGCTCTGGTCTTCTAGCAATTGCTCCTCCTCCACTAAATTTACTCCAATTTTCAAATCGGTCGCCATCCAACTGCTCACCGAAGCTTTATTTTTACAGTTTTTAGAATTTGTCTTCTTTTTCTATCCAGATCCTGGTTTTTGGTGATCCCTCTCCCATCTCCTTAGTGATTTATAGACATTATGGGCCTTTCCCAAGAACTCTGAGAACATTCTTATGGTACGCTTAATTAATTTCTATCTTTTATGATGTTTTTCCTTTTGTTTTTGGCCCAATCTCATTCTGGATGGTTTCTTATGATGTGTAGTTTATTGGTTACTACATTCAGGCTATAGAAATACCTTTAATCACATCGCAAAAGTTTTAATCTGGAGCATTTTCACCAACCTTCATTTCAAAATGCTTTGTAATTCTCATTATGATTTGAAGAGTATTTACCAACTTTCCTAGTGACCTTTCTATTAGTGTTTTTTAGTTTAGCTACGCTGTGATATGTGCTTTCAGTTCTTTGCAGTTCTGAGCAGCTTTTGTCATTGTTCCTGTCATACTTGTGCAGAATCTGGTTTTCCTGTTTGTTTTCTGCTTTTTAAGTGGTGGAACTAGGAATTAACCTAGGGCCTTCGTACTGAGCTACCTCCTCCAGCCCTTTTTTAAATTCTTTATTTGAGGCAGCAGCTCACTGAGTCACTGTGATGCCTAAGCTGGGCTCAAATTCATGGTGCTGCAGCCACTGCCTCCCAGAATGCTGCAGGTAGGGGTGTATGTGTCCCCAGCCTGGCTAGAAGTGAATCTGTGTCATCCCTTCTCCATGTCCACATCCCAGACTGCATCACCCTTGTCTTCTGAACCCCTGCGGAGCCCTCTTAACAGTTACACCTGTTAGTCAGCTCTCCTTTGCCAGACCAAAAATCGTGCAGAGTAAAAGAACAAAAACGAGTTTGTTTCGGCTCAAGGTTGCAGCAGTTTCTATCCACGGTTGTTTGCTCCATTGCTCCTGGGCTCACAGGGAGGTAGAGCATCATGGTGAGCTCTTGTGGAAGAGCAAAGCGGTTACTTCTCTTGGTGGAGGGAAGAGAGACAGAGCCCAAAGATGGGCTATCCCTTCTTTCAGGGGTCCTTCCTCCAGGCAGGCCCCGGCTCCTAACGGTCCATTATGCCATGGACACAGTCCATTTAGGTGTCAAGCAGTACGTGAACCCCTTGATGAGATTAGCATCACCATGATCCAGTCACCTTCCCCAAGCCTGGAGCCTTTTGGAGGATGTCTTTAATTTGTGCCATAGTAACTTCCAAAAGTGTGGACTCCTCCAATCCATTTTCCAGAGAATTAAACTGTTCTGGGTGATTCCAAATACAACCCTGGGACCTTGTAGAGTCTGTACCCCAAACCTGGGCTCCAGCCACATCAGCTGTTCCTGTGTTCAAACAGTCTAGATTCTTTCTAAGTATTCTATATGGTAAGATATATATAAAATAAAATAAATATGCCACTTTAACCATTTTTATGTATTTAAAGGATTTGAGTGGAGTAAGCACATCCATCTAGTTACACGGTGTCACCTTCCAGTCACAGAACATTTTCACCTTCCCAAAGAGACATTCTGTCCCCATTAATCCCTAATTCCCTGTGGAGCCTCCCCCAACCCTGGCATCCATCCTTCTCTTTATCTATGAACTGATTATGCTTGGGTCTTTTTCTAGATCGAGTCATACAGTGTGTGTTCTTTTGTGGCTAGCTTAGACTCATATATGTCTATATATGTTCACATTGGTCATACAGTATGTCTTAGTGTAGTTCACTTACTATGTCTATATACCTTAGTCTATATGTCTATATGTCTTAGTATGTCTATGTGTGGTATATAGAAGACCTATATTCCATTTTATCCCCAGTGTTTTTATTGTTGTCAATGGCATGTAACAAAACTTACCATTTTAAACCTTTTTAAGTGTAAGGTTCAGTGGCCTAAACTGCTTTTCTAATACTGTACACCCGGCACTGCTGCTGTCTCCAGAATCCTTCACCATGTGTTAAATCACTGTGTGACCAAACACCCAAGATAAACAACTTGGAGGGAGGAGGGTTCATTTAGCTGCCATCTCCAGAGGTTTTCCTCTGTGAGCAGCTGCTTAACTGCTGTTAGGTTTGTGGGGAGGCAGAGCACGGTGGCAGACGGATGCAGTGGAAGGGAGCTGCTCACCTTTGGCAGCCAGGAAGCAGAGAAAGCCAGAGAAGAGGGGAGGGGGTGCTCTGCAGTGAGGCCCTGTGTCCTGTTTCTTTCATTTCCCGGCAATGAAAGAAATCCACAAATTAATGATCTCATCAATGAATTAACCCACTTGCTGAAGTGAGAGCCCGCATGATCTAATCACTGCCCCAGAACCTCGTCTGCGGGCAACAAAGCCTTTAGCATATGAATTTCAGGTGACATCTCAATCCAAACCATATTTCCAAACTAAAATTCTGCCCCTGTTAAGCAGTGTCCCTGGGCCCTGGACACTGCAATTCTACCTTTTATCTTTACAAACTTGACACTGTGGGTACCCCAAGCATGATACAGTAGTCATCTCTGCTGGCTTGTTTCCCGAACATGATGTTCCCAGGCATCATCCATGATGTAGCATGCACCTGAATTTCCTTCAGGCTAACTAGTTCTGTATTTATAGCCCACCCTTGGTTTACCCATCCATTGATGGGCACTCCGGGTCCTCCTGTGTTTTGGCTATTGTAACAATGCTGTGATAAACCAATACCCCTGTAAGTCCCTGCCTTTGACCCTTTCAAGTATATATCCCGAAGGAGAACTGCTGGACCATGTGGCACCTCCGTGTTTAGTGTCCGGGGAATCCCTGTACTGTGTCCATCAGCAGCTATACTATTTTGCATTCCCAGCAGCAGTGCACAGAGGTCCGATTTTCCCATGTCCTCCCCAGCGCTGTTACTTGCCGGTGTGTTGATGGTGGCCTTCTGGGAGATATGAGGTGATGTCTCATAGTTCCATTCACATTTCCCCAGTGACTAAGAATTGGACATCTTTTCACACGTTTAGTGGCCATTTTCTTTAGGAAAATGCCCGCTTAGTTTCTTTGACCATTTTTGAAGTGGGTTTTTATTGTTGTTAATGAGTTGTAGGAACCTCTCTGTGATGGATATTAAACTCATAAGAGATAGATAATTTGCAAGAAATTTCCCGGACTCTGTCAGCTGCCTTTTAATAATAAAGGCCTTTAAATTTGTCTTTTTTCTTTTGTCACTGGTGCCTTTGGTGGAATATGCAAGGATCATTACCAAGTCTGTCATGAAGCTTCAGTTTTTACATTTAGATCTTCAGTTCACTTAGAGTTAATTCTTGGATATGGGATTAGGTAAGGGCCCAACTTCATTCTTTCGCATGTGTATGTCCAGTTTTTCCAGCCCCGTTTATTGAAAAGATTGTGCTTCCCTCGTTGAATGGGCTTGTTACCTTTGCCGAAGGTCATTTGAGGGCTGTGAGTGTGGCTCAGAGGTAGGGCACTTGTCAAGTGTGCCTGAGGCCCTGGGTTCAATCCCTAGTGCCATGAAACAAGCCAATAGCACTAGAGTTGTTTCTGGGCTTTCCATTATATTCCGCTGGTCCAGCTGTCTGTCTTTATTCCAGTTCTACACTATTTTTATTACCATATCTTTGTAGTAAACTCTGAAATTATACAAGTTGTCGGCCTGTGTTCTTTTTTAAAAGTGGTTGAGATTTAGAGTACGATTTAGAATTTATTTATTTATTTTTTTGGTCCCAGAGAGCGAACTCATGACCTTGCATTTGCCGGGCAGGCACTTGTGCTGCTGAGCTAAATCCTCAGCCCTGCAATTTAGAATTGAGACTTGAGGATGCTATGTGAAGTTTTAGGATGCATTTTTCTGTTTCTGAACAAAAGGGTTGTTAGAATGTTGAGAAAGACTGCATTGAGCCTGTAGGTCATTCCGTGCAGTGTGGTGCATTTTAAGATTGTAAGATGTTATCTTCCAGCACTGGGGATTGAACCCAGGGCCTCACAAATTCATGTATGCTAGACCAGCTGTATGTCATTGAGCTGCATCTCTAGCCCGTCTTCCAATTCTTGAACGTGAGGTTTTGTTCCATTCATTTGTGTCTTTAGTTTCTTGAACTTCATTCCCTTGTTTTGCTAAGGATATTCCATGGTGTGGATACGTTACCCAGCATTCATATATTCATTAGATGCTTAGCACTGAGTTATTTCCACCCCTTGGCTGTTGTGCACAATGCTCCTGTGAACACTG